CGCCAGCTCTCAGGCCTCTGCTGCTGAAAGTAGGTATCTGGTTTGTTTCGGTTCGAAACAATGTATAACTCCAGCTCTGACTCCAGCTCTGAGATCCCAGCTCACTGAAAGCTGGTTTCTGGGATTTTTTTTAGCTTCTATGTTTGTTACAGTGTTCAAACTGCAGGCTCAGAGGCCTGCAAGGCAGGCGGGGAACGTTTGTTTCCTCCGTCACTGAAGCAAGCAAGCCTCATGTTAGTTTCAAGCTGCCTGGCTGTCGGCCGCCATCTTGGCTGGCAGTTAATTTGCATATCGCCCCTGATTAGCCAATGGGATGGGTAGTGGTTGTACACCAATTACCATGTTTCTCTTTTATTAGATAGGATATATACAATCTCATTTACTAAATTATTTTGCCCTATGTGGAGTTCTAATATTATCTTTCTCTCAATGTTAGGCCTTCCTTTACTTTCTCGTTTATAATTTCTTAAAATGATCGTTTTTGCTCCAGGGCCTTCTGTTTCCTGCCTGCTGAGAGGATTTTCTTTTCTGCTTTCAAATAAAACATCAAATGAGAGGGTGGTATTAACTATATTTCACTGAACTTAAAGTAGATTCCCTCCCCCATCTAAATCCTCCAAAGTGCACACAACAAAGATTCAGTACTCATTTAGTCTAGCAATTTTTTACCTTCTCTCTAGATGGCTTAAGAGATCCAGACTCTATACCGTACAAAATCCTGAAAATGTACAAAATGGTTTTCTGGAATTCTTTTGAGGGCAGCCCCTCAGTAAAATTCTGTAAGCCTCTTTTGAGGCTTTGGATCCTCTGTGAGATTCTTCAGGTAAAGAACCTAAAATTCCCCATGATAAAGCTTCCCTTCTATTTTTGCTATTCATAAGGAATTTATTAGTCTCTTTTTCATATTTATATTACCTACATGTATATTAATAGCACTTCCCACTCTGTACTGTAATTTATTTATTTACATGTCTGCTTCCCCACCTATTGTAAGTTCTTTGGGGATGGCAAACTTTCTTTGTTCTTCCAGAACTTGGCATGACACCTGACTCATAGGCATTATTCAACCAAGACTTCAAAACCAATGGGATGGTAATTGTAGAATCCACAATATATTAACATTAATGTAAATTATTAAGTAAAATGGCTAATTTTAAGATGTAAAATTATATTTGAGATTTTTCTTGCTTCCTGAGGTAGACTTATAATGCTATAAACTTCCTTCTCAGAACTGCTTTCACTGTGCCCCATAGATTTGGGGTTGTTGTGTGTCATTTTCATTTAATTCCAGGTAATTTTTTTATTTCTTCTTTGATCTCCTTGGTAACCCATTCACTGTTTAATAACATGCTATTTAGCCTCCAGGTATTTTTTTACTGTAGTTGATTTCTAGGTTCATGCCACTGCAATCCAAGATGCTTGTTATTTCAATCTTCTTAAATTTGTTAAGACTTATTTTGGTTCCTAACATGTGATCTATCTTTGAGAATGTTCTGTGCACACTTGAGAAGATGTATATTCTGCCACTTTAGGATGAAATGTTCTGTAAATATCAATTAAATCTATCTGATCTAGTGTGTTCCCTTATATTTTTGTCTGGAAGATCTATCCAGTGACGTTAGTGGGGTGTTAAAGTTCCCTACTATAATTATACTAGAGGCCCAGTGCAAGCATTCATGCACTGGTGGGGTCCTTCGGCCTGGCCTGCACCCTCTTGCAATCTGGAACACCTCGGGGGATGTCAGATAGCCGGTTTCGACCCAACCCCCGCAGGCCCGATCCAGACAGGAGGGAGCCCGATCCTCACAGGACCGATCCAGACAGGAGGGAGCCCAATCCTTTGCATTGAGCATCTGTACTTTGGTGGTCAGTGCACGTCACAGTGACCAGTCGACCAGTCGTTCAGTTGCTTAGGCTTTTATATATATAGGCTAGGGGCCCAGTGCATGAATTCATGCACCTTGAAAGGAACTGTGGGCTGCGAGGCTGCAGTGGGCATGTGATAGAATCTTGGCCAATCCTCCACGCCCCACCCAGCCTCTCCTGCCACAGCCCCAGTCCCATCTGCTGGCAGTCCCGCTCCCGTTGCAGCTCACACCTGCTGACGGTGCGGAGTGATTGGGGCCGGCACCAGCAGCAGGTGCGAGCAGCGACTGCTGCTCCAATCACCACTCAGGATCAGAGGGAGGTGGAGAAGCCCTCAGGGGTGATAGGGGCCAGCAGCCATCGCTTGCACCCGCTGACAGCGCTGAACGATCGGGCTGGCACCGGCACCAGCAGTGGGTGCAAGTGGTGGCTCCAGCTGCGAGCAGGGTTGGCACTGGCAGTGGGTGTGAGAGGCGGCTGCTGGCCCCGATCACCCTTCAGGAGCAGGGGGAGGTGGAGAAGCCCTGAGGGGTGATCAGGGCCAGCAGCCATTCCTCGCACTCACTGATGGCATCAAGTGATTTGGGCTGGCGCTGGCAGCAGGTGCAAGCAGGGTTGGCACCTGCAGCAAGTGCGAGCACCAGGCAGGACTATGGCTCACGGGAGCGAAGAATTTTCAGTAACCACCAGAGACTTGCCCTGATGACAGCAACCAGTGCCCCACCTTGGTCTGGCGCCCCCGTTCACCTGCTCCACCAGCCCGTCATGGCCGATGCCTGCCATATTTCGCGCTCTGCCGCCGACACCCACCATGTTCTGCGTGTTCCCTCTGGTGGTCAGCCCACATCATAGAGACTGGTTGTTCGGCCATTCACTCTATTTGCATATTAGGGTTTTATTATAGATAGACTAGAGGTCCAATGCACGAAATTAGTGCATGGGGGGGAGGGTCCCTCAGCCCTCCCTGCACCCTCTCGCAATCTGGGACCCCTCAGAGGACGTCCAATGCCGAATTAAGATAGATAGATAGATGATAGATAGATAGATAGATAGATAGATAGATAGATAGATTGCTTTCAGTATCTCCCCTTAAAGTCCACCATGAGTTTTTTATATACTTAGGTCCTCCTATATTGGGTGCATATATATTTACAAGAGTTATGACCTCTTGCTGGATTGCTCCCTTTGGTATTATGAAGTGACCTTCTTAGTCTCTTGTTGTGGCCTTTGTTTTGAAGTCTATTTTGATATGAGTATTGCTACCCCAGCTTTTCTTTTTCGTTTCCATATGCATGGAATATTTTTTTCCATCCCTTCACTTTCAGTCTGTGTAAATCTTTTGTTCTGAGGTGGGTCTCGTGTAGGCAGCATGCATATGGGTCATGTTTTCTTATCCATTCAGCTACCCTATATATTTTGATTGGAGCATTTAATCCATTTACATTTAAGGTTATTAGTGATAGGCACTTATTTATTGTCATTTTTTTCTTCTTTATACCTATGTTCCTCCCTCCCTCACTCTTTCTTTCTTTTTCTTCTTAAAACAGTCCCTTTAATATTTCTTGCAATGCTGGCTTGGTGGTAATGAACCCCTTTAGCCTTTTTTGTCTGGAAAGCTCTTTATGTATTTCATCTTCAATTTTAAATGCTAGCCTTGCTAGATAGAGTACTCTTGGTTTCAAGTCCTTGCTTTTCATTTCTTTCAATACTTCATGCCAATCCCTTCTGGCTTGAAGTGTTTGTTGAAAAACCAGCTGACAGCCGTGTGGGAACTCCCTTGTAACTAACTGTTTCTCTCTTACTGCCTTAAGATTCTATCTTTGTCTTTAACCTTTGACATTTTAATTATGATGTGTCTTAGTGTGGGTCTCTTTGGATTCATCTTGATTGGGACTCTAAGTGCTTCCTGAACTTGTATAACTTTTCCCTTCACCAGGTTAGGGAAGTTTTCTGTCATTATTTCTTCAAACAGGTTTTCTATCCCTTGCTCACTTTCTTATCCTTCTGGTACCCTATGATGTAGATATTGTTACATTTCATGTTGTGCCAAACTTCCCTTAAACTATCCTCGTCTTTGTTTTTTAAAATACTTTTTCGCCGAAACCGGTTTGGCTCAGTGGATAGAGCGTCGGCCTGAGGACTGAAAGGTCCCAGGTTCGATTCCGGTCAAGGGCATGTACCTGGGTTGTGGGCACATCCCCAGTAGGAGATGTGCAGGAGGCACCTGATCGATGTCTCTCTCTCATCGATGTTTCTAACTCTCTCTTTCTCCCTTCCTCTCTGTAAAAAAATCAATAAAATATATTTAAAAAATAAATAAATAAATAAATAAAATAAAATACTTTTTCTTCTTGTTGGGCTCATTAGGTATTTTTTCTTTTTCTTTTTCTTTTTTGTTTTTTGGGGGTATTTTTTCTACCTTGCCTTCCAAATGGCTGATTCTACCCTCTGCTTCATTCAGCCTACTTTTACTCCCATCCTGTGTATTTTTGATATCAGATATGGAATTCTTCCTGGTTTCTTATTCCTGGTTTCTATGTTCTTTTTCATGCTGACATAGTTCCCACTAAGTTCCTTGTAGTTGTCATTAAATTCCTTGGGCATCCTTATAGACCAGGGGTGGGCAAACTTTTTGACTCGAGGGCCACAATGGTTTCTTAAACTGGACCGGAGGGCCGGAACAAAAGCATGGATGGAGTGTTTGTGAAACACTCCAATTCAAAGTAAACATCATTACATAAAAGGGTACGGTCTTTTTTTTCAATAGTTTTATTCATTTCAAACGGGCCAGATCTGGCCTGCGGGCCATAGTTTGCCCACGGCTGTTATAGACATTACTCTGAACTCTGTGTCTGATAAATAGCTTGCCTCCAATTCATTTAGCTGTTTTTCTGGAGATTCCAACTTTTCTTTCATATGTGGGCTGTTTCTTTGTCTCCCAATTTTAGCTGTCTCTTTGTGTTTATTTCTATGTACTAGATCAGTGGTCGGCAAACTCATTAGTCAACAGAGCCAAATATCAACAGTACGACGACTGAAATTTGTTTTGATTGCCAAATATTTTAAACTTAAACTATATAGGTAGGTACATTGTTATTAACTTAATTAGGGTACTCCTAAGCTGGCCTTTGCTAAAAACGTGCTCAATCTGATTGAGGTACGTTTGCTGAGGTCAACCCCTTCCAACTCTCGCATCCACACTCGTCTTGTATACTTGTTTCATCTATCCCTTTCACTCATCCTCTCTATATGTCCAAACCATCTCAACATACCTTTCTCAATCCTCGACACTACATCTTTCACTCCACAACGTTCCCTAAAATTAGCTTAATAAACTTAAAGTTTTAAGTCAACTTCGCACTGTACATGCGCGCCCACACATGGTATTCTGTGGAAGAGCCACACTCAAGGGGCCAAAGAGCTGCATGTGGCTCGCGAGCCACAGTTTGCCGACCACAGTATTAGACAGAAACTGCTATGACTCCCATTCTTTGTGGGTGGCCTCATGTAGTAAGTGCCCTATGTGACTCAGTGATGCAGTCTCTTTGATCTCCTGAGCTGGCTGCTCTAGAAATGTCCCTTGTGTGGATTATTTGGGCTCTCCTGTTGTAATTGGGTCCTAAATGTTGTTGTCCCGTTCGTGGGTGGGATTCTCCGCTCAAGCTGGCTGACTGTGAGGCTCAGCCCCGACCAATCATTGAGAACTGCTGTGCAGGTGCAGTCTCAAGATGGTTTCTGCCCTTCCTTGTTTTTTAAAAGTCTCCTCTTCAGCTAGTCTTCAGTTGATAATTCAAGGTGAATGTTACCCAATTTAGTTTTTTTTAAATATATTTTTTATTGATTTCAGAGAGGAAGAGAGAAATAGAAACATCAATGATGCGAGAGAATCATTGATCGGCTGCCTCCTGCACGCCTCCTGCATGCCTCCTATTGGGGATCGAACATGTGCGCTGACTGGGAATCAAACCATGACCTTCAGGTTCATAGGTTGACACTCAACCACTGAGCCACACCAACAGGTTCTCCAATTTAGTTTTATTTCCAGTATGGTTCTGGGAGGAAGTGCAAGGAAGATCCACCTACTCTGCTGCCATCATGAAACCCTGTAATAGAAAATTATAACCACAAGCAAGCATCCATTAAAAAACACAAATATATAAGAAAGGCTGTTTGGCTATCTAAACAATAACAATACTGGTTTGCTCTTTATTTTAATACCTGCCAACTCACTATGCAACAAGATATATCCGCTAAATTTTTTTTCTTCAAATTCTGTACCAACTAAGCAGCAACATTAATGATAATACTGAGGTTCTTTTCGTAAGAAGTTTGTTCTTTACATACATAATCTCATTTAATATTCCCAACTCTGTATTCTGATTTTGGCGATTAGGAAACTAAGGACCAAAAAGGTTAAATAAAATTATCCAAGATAACATAGTAAGGCAGGGAACAACCAAGATTACTGAGAGAATATCTAAGGTCAAAAGCACTCACAAGTTTTACTAAGGTTTTATCAAACCATCTTTATTCTAAGGGGAGATAAGATCGGTGCATTTGTGAGACAAGCTGTTGCTCAGATGAGGTGCCAGATTTCAACCTTGTGGCTGCCTGCTTCCTGATAGTTGCTCTTTCCTTCCACTCTGGTAACTTTTTAAAAATTATACTTTTATTTAGAATATGATTTAAGAATTAAGTTTGGGGAGAAAAATAAAGGAAAAATGTTACTTATAATCTTACTCATCCCTAACCTAATATAAAATATCATTTTCTAATATTAGAAGCACAATACATGCATATCAGTTCAAAATCTACCTACAACTTTTATTAGCTGTGTGGCCTTTGCTTAATTGCTTGACTTCCATCACAAAAATATTCTCACTCGATCATTCATTCATGCAATAAACATTATCAAGTACCTACTATGCACCAGACACTGTTCTAGATGCTTCGGGTACCTCACTGAAATTATTTAGGAAGAATAATGGAGCATAGGATTTGGATTGGGAATGCAATTGTGCATACATATAGACAAGGATTAATGTGACACTAGCCCCAAAAGCACCATTGCCAAATAGTGAAAGAAAGATCCATGGCTCAGCTAGCAGGACTGCCCACTTCATGTGAATTAGGGGAAAGCCTTTCCTCCAGGCTAATGATGTCTGTGTATTGGGTACATGGCTGAATTTCTACCCTGTTTCATTTTCTATGTTGGGAGTCTTGTGTAGCTCAGAAGTTATAACAATACCAGAGGCCCGATGCATGAGATCCCTAATTTCAGGAGAAGCATATCTTCTAGTGGAGGGACACACAATAAAGTAAGATATATAATACAATAGTGGGTAATAAGTACTGAAGAAAGAGAGGCAGGTTGCAACTTATATAGTGAGGTCAGAGTAGGCCTCAGTAAGGAGGTAACAGTTGAGCCAAGACTTAGAAGTCAGGGAGTTCAACTTGCAGATATCTGGGAGAACAGCCAGTGAAAACCCTAGAGCAGGAGTGTCCTGTGTACAAGGAATACCAAAGAGATCATGGAGTTCAGTGAACTGAGAGTACAGTTGGGGGCAGGGGAGACAATGCAGATAACATACTGCACTGTAAGGATTTTGCCTTTTACTGAGTGAAACAAAAAAGCCATGGAAAGGTTTTGAGCAGAGCAGACGAGGATTCCTCCAGCTGCTTTTTGCAAATAAACCACATAGACAATAGATAGAGAATTATGGAGTTCAGAAAATGTCTGGGTTGAAGAATTAAGTGTAAAAAAAGGGATAATACCTCACTGAGTTGCTATGAAAGTTGTTAAAAAATGTTTGTAAGGCACTTAGCGCTGTGTCTAACACATAGAAAATGATCCTATATAATAAAGAGCTAATATGCTAATTAGAGGGGGGGGTGACCTCCCGGAAGACCTACCGAATGACCAGTGGGCAGGGCCGTGAGGCTGCGAGGGCCAAGCCCCTTGCACAAATCTCATGCATCAGGCCTCTGGTATTGTTATAACTTCTGAGCTACACAAGACTCCCAACATAGAAAATGAAACAGGGTAGAAATTCAGCCATGTACCCAATACACAGACATCATTAGCCTGGAGGAAAGGCTTTCCCCTAATTCACATGAAGTGGGCAGTCCTGCTAGCTGAGCCATGGATCTTTCTTTCACTATTTGGCAATGGTGCTTTTGGGGCTAGTGTCACATTAATCCTTGTCTATATGTATGCACAATTGCATTCCCAATCCAAATCCTATGCTCCATTATTCTTCCTAAATAATTTTAAATATTTGACAATTGTTTGCCTAATCATACTCTTGTGTTGGATGTAACTTATTATTATCTACGCTTACCTATTACCACATATTTTTATATTTTTTCAAATTTTAAAATTTCTGAAATCACCTTATTTATCCTAACAGAGAACCTGAAATAAACACAGGAATATAGACATTGCTTAAAACCCTAGGCTTGGGATTGATTACTGGGTTAAAAGGTTAAGAATTATGTATGAGCCGAAACCGGTTTGGCTCAGTGGATAGAGCGTCGGCCTGCGGACTGAAAGGTCCCAGGTTCGATTCCGGTCAAGGGCATGTACCTGGGTTGCACGCACTTCCCCAGTGGGGGATGTGCGGGAGGCAGCTGATCGATGTTTCTCTCTCATCGATGTTTCTAACTCTCTATTTCTATCTCTCTCCTTTCCTCTCTGTAAAAAATCAATAAAATATATTAAAAGAATTATGTATGAGTGCTGCTACTGTCATGTTTTTAATACTTTAAAACTGGACTTGGGTGAATTTTTGTTTTAAAGTAAGCTTGTTTTCTAAAAGCTATTGTTGCTATCTATTTTCTCTGATCTTTTCTGGGAGGTGGTGGAGGGGAGGTTTAACCCGGAAAGGGCAGGCTGTGCAACTACTTCATCTTCTTAGAAGACAGAGTTCTAAAAGTGTAGAAAAGGGTAAAGATACAGATTGATAAAGGCAACACCAGTGGGTGTAACTTTTATAAGAATTTCCTATCAGGTCAGCATTTCATCAGCAGGGTAAGTGAGATTATTTTGTGATCTTCATACTCCTTCAAAGATAAGTATAATTCAGCAGCCTAATTGCCAGGAGCCCCCTAAGTGCTTCTTTTAAAAAAAAAAAAATTTATTTTATTTTTATTATTTTAATCCGGGAATCAAACCCATGACCTTTTGGTGTATAGGATGATGCTCCAGCTAACTGAGCCACACTGGCCAGGGCTTGAAATGCTTCTAAATAAGAAGGCCCAATACCTTTTATTCCTGGAAAAGGTCAAATAGAAGATCTCTAGACTGGTGTACAGTTTAGAGCATAGATTCCATTCTAAAAACTATACTAAGTGCTCGAATGCGGAGACCAACAACCCGTTCCATAGCTAGGCAACCAGACTCAAAGAAACTGACACGAGTTCCCCTCCCTTAAAATGAAGCTCAAAGACAAGACTAACCCAAGCACTCAAAGATTCCAATCAGCTGTTTAATCCTATCCTTTTAAAAATAAGCAGACTGCCCAGAATTACCAGACATTTTAGGAGAGCCTCTAAGATGGATAATAAAGATCAAAACACACAAGGGGAAAAAACAACCAGAAAAGAGCCCATCGAATGAATGCCTAGTACCTCAAATTTTATAATGGAGGACAAAAAGATTCTATATACTTCTAGAGAAAAAATACAAAGGACCAGAAACCAGAAAGGCTTCAAATTTCTCAATACTAAAAGTTAAAATAGAGCAAAGCCTTCTAAATTCTGATGGAAAGTTACCTCAAACTTCGAATAATCAGCAAAACTATCAATGAAGGGTAGTAGTTAAGTAGTGTTTTCTGACATTCATAGTTACAGAAATTTTACCCTTCATGATTTCTTTCTCAAGGAATTTGTTACTTGAATAAGAATAAATCAAGAAAGAGAAAGACTTGGGATAGAGAAACTAGGGCATTAACAAAAAAGAAGCGAATGAAATCCCCTAGAGAACAAAGAAGGGAAATCCTTGGATAACAAATGTGTATCAGGAACAAAAATCCCTAATGACGTGACCCTTTCTAGCAACCTCAACTACTACCAACAATACTCACCTACATAATGTCTTTTTCTTTTTGGGGAGGGAGAGATGGAGGGGACAAATGGGAGGGAGGGAAAGAAGGGAGGAGACAGAAAGGAGGGAAGAAAACAGTTCACATTTAAGAAGTTTAACATGATCCTATACCCCCTCGCTTTACGTATACTATTCCTTGAAGAGAAGGGACCTATTCTGGATCTTGAGATATTCTAGGTCAAACATGTCAAACTCAAAGGCTAACACGGGCCAAACAAACAAGGTTTAAGTTTATGTGGGCTGCAAAAAAACAAAAGCTTCAATTTTCATAGAAATGTAGGTTTATTTCAATAGAGACATGCTGAATACAAAGGGCTGAAATAAATGAGTAACTGTTAACATAAAATAATAGAACATTTTAATAAAAATTAATATTTTTTCTTGAATATTAACTTACCAGATACTGAATAACTGCACAAATTAATAAATGTAACGCAAATAAACCTATTTTTCTTGTTCTCCGAAAGTGAAATATTTCCTGTTGCGCACGCCAAACAAGTCAGCACAAGACTATTAACACGGTAAATGGCTGCTAAAATATTCGCTGCTAGTATTAGTGGAGAGAAATGGTGCGCTTGTGCATAAGGCACATAAGGGAAATGAATGCAACACGATTATAGTAATCAGTCATTAGCGA